TAGATAGCGTTAATAGTCGTAATTAAAATAATAATTCGACCGGCGGTAGCTGCTGCGTTATTGCAGCCTGCAGGTCAATACAAATATTGGTAATTGGTATTTGGTATTGGTAGCGGTAAAATACTAAAATGTAGCGGAATACAAATTACCAATGCCGCGGCGGCACCATCATGATAATATAATTTATCCGTATAATAAGATGAACTATAATAAAGTATGAGAGGGGGTAATTTAAACATTTATTATTATATTATTTGCATTCACGTTTGTCTATTAAACGTCTTCGGAGTTCGGGTTGTTAACGCCGATAAGGGATTCTAATTCAACGTTGCCAAATTTAACCATACACATGTTGTCATTTAATAGTAATAATAATATTTATTTTATATTTTTCATGACGTATGAATAATTATCATTGAGTAATAATTGTACCCACTTAGCCACCTACATACCTACCTACATTTTTTTGTATGTATTTTAAAAAGTACTCAACCGATTTTAGTCTAGTTTTCAGTTTTCACTCATGGGTTGGCCTAGGTCTTGGGGAAGATTCGAATGTGTAATATGCCCACAGATATAAAATACAGATATTTTATATCTGTGAATATGCCTTAAAAAAATATTTGAATGCCGAAAATAATAAAAATATAAATAATGAAATGCTGTTTGTTGTTAATATAGCATCACTTGAGAACGGCGGGATCGATCGGGCTCATTTTTTTTAAACCTTCGGAATAGTTTGAATAAGGTTTTAAAGAAAGACAAATTGGAATAGTTTCCCTGAAAATTAAAAAAATCTGGGAAAACTGAAAGTGCTTTATTGACTGTCTAGTTGACCAACGTAGAGCTTCTTAAACTATGATATTATAACTTTCGCTATTTTTAGCCATGAGATATTTTCGATTTTTATTAATTTTTTTTTAAAGTGAGTCATGAGTACCTTTTAAAATATGTACAAAGCTGTATAAAAAAAAGCCTGTTCTTTTATATATCTATATAAGGATAATTATAAGAAATAAAAGTGGTGAATTATGTAATTATATATTGCGTGCCAAGTGCAAACACATTCCCATTGACTATTTGGCCCTTGCGACTTGTCTCACGTGGATGACTGGATAGGTATAAATGTATAATTGCCATCGAGACTGCCTTAGTGCCATATTTAAGAAACATAAAGTCTTAATAAATACACACGTGTCTTTTATACAGTGTACAATACTACAAAGTAGGAACTCAGGAAGTACAATGCGAGTATGCGACTCGTACATTTTTTTTGAAATATAAATACCTACGTATATTATGTTACTATATATATAACCTAATCCTAAATTCAATTTAGACATTACAACTTTGTAATAAGTTTATTTATAAATAAATATAATATTTATTTTATAAGTATGTGAGTATATTAGATCATTGATTATAAAATTATAGTATTATAGTATATTTTACTATTTATAATCAATGGTAAGACGTGTGTGTTATCGTATTCGTCCGACTGGTGTGTTGGAAATACCCAAAATAAATAACATTCATTGTCATATTAATCAAATTGCAATGGTGAATAGGGTCTACTGAGTAGATATTGTCAGTACTATCGCATTGTCGCTGCACGTCACTGTACATTTACACACTGCACACTAGCAAATCGCTCGTCAGTCGTCAGTGGTCAGGTACATTCTATATTCAAATCTCCAATTCTCAATTATACCTCTGCATAACGTTTTTCGATACAATTAATAATTCTGTACTATTGCTCTAAAAAAATGATTTAACCATTTTTTATTCAACGTAGTTTTTTTATTGATTATTTAGTCATAATGACATTATTGCAGTAGGTACTGCATTAGCTAAGTGGAAATCGTAATCCAAGGTTATGACTTATGTTATTATTTAATTCGCTTCACTATAAAAATTTTATATTTCAAGTTAATATTTTAAGTGTTTACGTAAAAAAACAAAGTTGCAATCATAATCAATTTTATCAAATAGGTAAGTTTAAAGTTTAAATTATATTTAAGACGAATTTGACCATATTCAGGAGGTTTAATTAATAATCTTCGAATTTTTACTTGCTAATAGATGATTTAGAGACCTGTCACACACAAAAAAAAAGCAGCAGCCTGTTCCAACTGGTTGTGTTAATTAATCTGTTGTAAGTACCTACTCATCATAATAATTAACTATTAAATTGTAATGCATTCATGCAAAATAATTATGACATTTATATTTTAAAATTTAATTTATTACAGTGAATAAAAATATATACAAACTTGGATTGATACTCAGTAATTTAAATTGTTTTGATTCTTAAGTAGATAAATTAAAAAATCTATTTTTACAGACTAATGATTATTATAATTAGGTAATTCTGCATTCAGCTTAAATTACAATAATTTTTAAAAAATAATTCCTGTTTTTTAGAAGAGTGTTTAACACTATAATATATTACTATGGCTGTCCATCGAGCGGGGACGAAAGGAAGATAGCACATGAGCTTTTTTCAATATTTCTAATAACTGAATTTGGGATACTTTTGGTTTTTAAAGTAAGTTTCTAATTATTGTAATATAGACACATCGTAGGTTTACAATCATTTTTATTTTATTTATTATTTATTCATTACATTACATTATTATTTATTACAAACCTTCGGGCTTTGGCTAACACGGAAATACAAAATATTAAATAAAACTATTATTCTGTTATTGTAGTTGACAATAATATTTTTCCAACCAAATATTTTCAATAAAAATAAAATATTTGAAATTAAAAACAAAAGTATTCAATACAAAGAAGTATTTAATACGTAAAACAGTATTTAAAATACCATTCAAAATACTTCATGCTGAAAGTATTTAAAAAGTTATTCAATACTTAAAAAAGTAATACTTTACAGGACTGCCTATGCGGCTTTAAGGCTATACCTATGGTATACAACTAACAATGAATTATATTTCTAATGATCATGTAGTGTATGTTAAAAGCTATATCACCCTACAAAAAATCATTTGACTACCAACAATCGAGAATATTAAACAATGCTCTATAAATATGTCATCTTAAATCATCCCCAAAATATTGAGTAGCAATTTTTTTTAAGCAATTCACAACTTAAATAATATTAGGATTTCAATTTTTATATTGTTATGACTCAAAACATTTATTTTTACTAACTAAGTGTATTAACACATGTTTATTTACTTCAACAAAATTATGAGTACCTACTTTGCTACTTATGTTTGATAATATTATATAAGGTTAGGTATTATTTTTTGCAAACCCTATGATATAGGTATTTCTTTAATTTTAGATCCTGAGAGGAGCGAAAAAATTTATTGATTTTACAATGATGTGTTTTATTTTTTCAGTCAGTAACATTTTGTATAGTAAAAACTAAAAACATTCCGTTTATCGAGATCAGCATCTTTTCTAATAGAAAAGTGAATCTAGTCGGTACTTTTGGGAAGTCGAAATCAAAAATTCCAAGTAACTTTAAAAAGCGTCAAGAAAAACCCCCCCAAAAAAATGGTAAAATCAATTTTTGAAAAATCTTATTTTATTTTTTTAAATTTTATTAAATATTTATTCAAATTTATAAATGGTAACATTTTCCAAATATTTTAACACTTTTTGAGGTAGTTATAACTTATAGCCTTGAGAAGTTTTTCAAATTTTGTAAAAAAAATTTAAATTATTATCTGCAATGATATTTGAACTTAGTTCGTAGATTCTTTCACTTAGTAAAAAAGTTTGAAAATTTAATGCACTGTTCATTATATATTTCATTAATGTAAGTTCATAAATATTAAAGATACATAGGCACAAATATAACACATCCATTACAGTTAAATTCTCAACAACTACTGTACAGCAGTACCTACCCACTTGTCAACCTTTTTAAATGTTGGCAATAGAGCTATGACAATAGTTAATAAAATAAAATAAAAGAGTTTACAACTTTTGAGAACATACAACTTTTTTAATTATTTTTCAGGTATTTTGGATTCATTTTGTTTGTAGTCTTGTGAACTGTATTGTTTAATTTTTACTTTGCTCCTGATTCGGAAAAAATGTAATCAAAACCGGATTTACAAATAACACCTAAATGAAACACATCAGGAATTAAACTATTAACAGGAAATTATCAAAATGAATCTAAAATATTAATGTGTTCACCAACTGAAGGTTTATTAAAAACTATAACTAGTAAAACTTATTTATTTCAAGATCTCATAATCTTTGGTTAGTTATTAATTTTCTAAAGTAATCTTTTGTTATTTTAAATTAGTAATTTGATTATGTTTTTCAGAATGTTAACAATGTAAATACAATTTCTAGCCTCATGCCCTCATTGAAAGCGATTCGAGAACACATGATGATGAGTCATTGATGACAATAACACTACTGTCATGGCACGAGTACGGTCATTATGATCGTTAAATGATTCCTTCAAATTTCCATAGTAAAACCTGTATTAAGTTAGATATTTCTAATACAAGTAATTTTACTGGTAAAAGTTATAATTATTATAATTAATTGTAATAATAATTTATCTAAGTATAACTGTTTCAAAAATGATTTTTTAAATTTTGACAAATGCAATTAATGATTTGCCATTTTCACAGAAATGTTTCTTTATTAGAAAAAACTAATCACATGCAAATAAAATAATAATTTTTATAATAAAATATATTAGCTTATATTACAACTTACTACCTATTTTTAGTGAATAACATAATAATATTATTTTTAAAAAAAACAATTGATTTTAGTTATAATAATAATAATAATAATGATGATAACAATTTATAAATATATAATAATGTGAATTAGGTTGAGAATTAAAAAAATTTCATTGTTGATAAAAACAATTAAAAAAAAAAAAATTAAGTTTAATACTATTGATTTAATATTAAAACATTTATAATGATAATCTTCAATGGTCTTAAAATATTCATATTTTATAATACATTGTTTTATATTGATTTTGATACAGATCATTGATTATTTAAAATTCTTAACTTGGAATGTGGTTTAGTTGTTGATGATATTGATTTAATTGTTGACTGTTCATTAATTTGCTTACATGTATGAAAAATTTTAGTAACAAACAGTAGGCGAATAATGTATAAATAGTGTTCTTTGCACGGATGGCTGTCGAATGAGGGTATTATATCTGATAAAGATATTGACTGCATTAATGTTTTTACTATTCCTTTTTTACTTTTTATAGACTCCCAATTTTTTTCAAAGTATTTTAAACACATTGTACATATGTTTACAAATTCATTTGTGGGTGTCTTCAAACCTCCATGAATAACACCTCTATATGTTTTATTCAAAATCAATAATTGATTTTTGTCGTTCATTTCATCATTGTTTTTAATTAATTGTTCTAAGCAGATGTTACAGTTGAAAAAATCCAGACATTTTTTTACTAAATAACCAGCAAAGTATACAATTGAACATGTTTCTAATGTGGTTGTTTCTTCTGGAACATATGTATTTGGAGACCAATCTGAATTTGAATTTGATGATGAATTTTCTAATTCATCTAATACTTCATCTTCTTTGTGTTCAATAGTGGTTCCTTCAGTATTAGACACATCAGATAGAACATCAACTGTAAGAAAAACATCATTGTCTTCTTCACAGTTACACAACTCTGAACATTTCATAAGGCTAAATGTACAAATGTTTGCATAACAACTTCTGAACATCCTTGAAGTTGGATTACGATTATACCCGTTCTTTTGCCGCATTATAGAAAAAAGATTTTCTAGTGGGTCCTGGCATAAACGGTTGGTCAATAAGAAATACGGTTTTTCAGTATCACATTTATTCAATACATCTGATTTTTCAATTTCATACAGTGCTAAAATCGAGTTGATTGACCAAACAATTCCGGTAAAGCAAGGAGGTTGTGACTTTATATTTTTGTTTTTATGTAGTTTTTTAGCTTCGAGGAATATGTTACATGTATTTTTTAAAGTTTGAAATAAGTTTTTGTTAGCTTCACTTAGTGGCCGAGAATTAGGATTTTTGTCGTATAAGCTTTTACTGTTTAAAATATCAAAAGTGTCATTGATTTGCATTACAAATTCTGCTGTGTCTTCTGCTGTGCCTGATGTTAATTCTCCAGTAGCGATACATGTACGAATTGATGCTGAAACTGATTTGCTAAATATTTGAGTTGCATATTTCACTGACATTTTTTGCCACGCATTTGGATGTAAATGAGTTGTTGTTATTTTTGGCATTGAACGAGCTGTCTTACTATTCACATCAATTGCAAATGTGTCCTTGATATCTTGGAAACAAATTTTTTTACTGCCAATTTCTATGTCACCGTTTAATAAATTGTTACGTAAACTTTTTATGAGGTGTGGGACATCATATATTAGACATATTTTTTTACCATTAATGTCGACTACTGGGTCAGTTTTTGTCCCACCAAGTAAATCAAACATCCTACGATTTTGAGACCCTTGATCGCACACAATACCTACTGGCAGCAATCCAACTTCTTCCAGTTTTTTTATGCATTCAGTTATTATTTCAACTAGGTCTGTTCCCTTTACACCAGATCCACTAAAGAAAAATGCAAATGGAAATTTCCAATTTTGATATAGGCCACGAATCATTATTACTAAGGCATTTTTGGATGGATCTGAAGATCGTCCAAATTGCCCTAAATCTTGATAGCCTTCTATAAAATCAAGTGCTTTGTTGAATTCTAGACAATTCATTAAAGAAACTTCATCTAGTAAAACAACACATTTTTTTTGGTGGTAATTCATTGATGAAACTTTATATTTGATCTGTTGCATGTATTCAATTGGGAAACCTGGAGAATAATTAATACTTTGCAACCAACGTCTCATAGTACTTTCACCTGGTAGGGTTATTTTATTCTTACGCATATACTTATAGGTTGATGGAGATTTATAATATATTGAAAATGCAATTTTTTTTTCTTCGGGTGTCCATGGCTTTCTATTTTTATGTTGTATTTGCATGGTGACTAATGCTTTTGAATTTTGTGATTTAAATTTTGTGCTCTGAATTAAAGTTTGTGTATTATATTTTTGTTTTTTTAGTATTTTTTTGATCTTTTGTTTTTTTAAACGGCTAATAATTGCTCTCTTTCGGTTTATAATTTTTTTTTGTCTCTTACAAATATTAATTAATGTTTGATTATTAAGTTCCTTTCTTTTTTTAACTGTTGGAGATGGCATTTTACATAGCTCTTGTACCCATTTTTTTGTTCTAGATAAATCGGATGAAATACTGCTAGGACTAGGAAATATTAACTGTGGCGATGATATAGATTTCGAATTTTGATATTTTTTAGTTGGCGTTAAGACTTTAAATTTGTCAGGAGTAACTATGAATGTGCCTGATGTGGATACAATGTCAGAATAATGTAGCGTGTTGGGATTAGTAGTGCCATTAACTGTAGATGGTGAATCTATAAAATGTACATCATAATATATTAGTTTTTATTTCATTAGTGTAGATAGAATTTAAAGTAGATAATTGATAATATTAGCTTTTTTTTAATGAATATATATATAATGTATTTAATTTTTTATAGTAGCTGAAGGTAACTTTATCAATGATCATATAACAACTAACAAGTCTTGTATAATATTTTAATTTTAATTTAAGAAAATGCAATTTAAAAATTATGATAGACTAAAAAATATTATTTGTAATTAATTGAGTACTAAAGAACTCATTGAAAAAAAAAATCACTGTATAAAAATAAAATAAAATTTATTATAGCAATTATAAATTCAACCATCAAGGTATTGTTTATAAGTTTATAAAATGATAGCAGTGTCCTTAAAAAAAATTTATGTTTAATTTTACAATAAAAATCTTATGAAAACAGTAGTAATGTAAACGTTTGTTTTTCTTTAAATTTTAACCTAGATATTTATATATATATATATATTTATGTACCTATATAAATTGTTTGCTTCAGATTGGTTTTTAGAATGATACCAAAAATAGGATTATGTTTTGATGGACGAAATGAACAGAAGTGTTTAGTATTTTTGGCACCAAAGGATGTCGTTGATTTTATAAAACATTTGTAGGTCAGTTGATGTAATATGGATCGGAATGTTGGGGTGTAGTCAATAAAATAGAACAGATGGTAAATGTAACAAACCAAAAATATCCAATTTAAGTTGAAGGGAGGTGGTGCAGGGAGATAGAGCACTGTTTTCATTAAAATTAATATCAAAAATATTAGTGGGCTTCACTGAGAAAACTCATGTAGGACATGTAGACTTGTAGTCCTATAGGAATACAATGATGATTGATCCTATTAGTTTGAGAAGGTGGTTGCAGAAGATAATGGTATTAATTAAAAATAAAATATTTTTTGTAGAATCTCATACCTTCGTCAAACAACAGTTTTCTTTTTGAACCTTTGTTGGTATGTTTTTCAATTTGTGCTGAATCCCATTCATTATCATTTTCAAATTTATCTGGCAATAATATATTTATTTTCTATTAAGTAAGGTAAAAAATGTATCAGATATTATATATTGTAATTTGTAACAATTTTTTTCTAAACAATGTTTAATTGTTCTTTGCATACATAACAATATAAGCAGTGGCGTGGTAAACTGTGATTTTAGAGGAAATTGCCTCAGAGATTTTTTTTAAATAGAGGGGTGGGTGGCAGTCTGTTGGTCCCCTAGTAAATATGATAATATGATAAACTCAATAGGTAGTCATTAATGATCTGAAATATAATTAGTTATATTATATTAATACCTACATTATTATGCATTAATACTTGAGATATTTGTAACTTGCCTCTGGAAAATTTTCAGTTTGCCACGCCACTGAACATAAGTATATTTTGTCTTAAAATTACTTACCAGTATACACATTTGGAACAGCCAAAGGTTTAAGGCGTTGCCTTTGAACACTCATGTACATATTATTGTCAAAATGAACTTCACATATAAATTTTTTTTTCAACGTTCTAGGGCTTAACCCATCCAATTTAATATTTCCTTGAGTATAAAAAAAATGACCAAAGGTAATCTATATTTTTTTAGAAACAGACATAATTGTGCATTTGCATCATGTTTTTACCTGAATTCAAAATCCATTTTTTGCATACATCTAAATTTTTTGGAAAACCGTGAAACTTAATTTCACTGTTTCGTCTTTTATTGTTCCCACAGTTGAAATACACACATACATTTCCAGACATGTTTATATACTTAATAAAAGTCTTAATAAAATGTAAACTTAAAAAAGTTGTCAATCGTGAAAAAACCGTTGCAACTTTCAATGACTAGTAATTTAAAATATGCCATGGAGTTCAAATTATTATACACATAGAATTATTATTTTTTTTTCCGGTTCCATAGTTAAATTTTTTCTTTGTATATTTTAAATAATATAATTCTACTTAAAAAATATATCCAATTATTATTTATTATTATGATATGATTATTAATTAATGTTAAATTTGCACCAGTATATTATTCACAACAACAAAACATGGGGAAGTAGGTAACTGCTCTCATATATAGTTTGTTTCGTGTATACCTCATAATTGAAAAATAAATTACTTTAATGTGAAATTTGAATTCAATGATAAACCATTGCATACGAAAAAAAAATTCTGAGCAAAGGCTGTCTGCCAGTCTGTATTACCATGTATATTGTATAATATTATTGTTATTAAAGTAATTAATTTTACTGTTATTCATAGAAATTATAATTAGAAGACAAAATTAAATATTTTAACAAAGTATTACAATTTTAATATTTTATTTTGTTATAATTGAGAAATATTATTCATGGTACTCAAAAACTCATAAGCCCAACTAGGGGGGGGGCTAACCCCCCCCCCCAAAACTTGTAATAGGCGCCTCAAAATAAATTATTCAATTATTTCCAGAAATATAAACAAATCTTTGAAATCAGTTTTCAATCTTTAAACTGTATTTCTTATTTATTTATTTATTTTTTAAAAATGTAATTATTTAATTTTAATTTTTATATTGTTTATGATAATTAATATAGTAAATAATAAATATCTTAAGCTGTATGCTTGTATTCGCTTTAAAAAAACAATCGATGTCGGTATGATATAAATTATTTTGTATTTGGTAAGATATTATTACACATAATTTTACAGCATACCTATGCACTGAAAGGTAGGTAATAGTGGAATAAAGAGTAAATAAATAATTATTTTTTAATTTTTTTAAGTGAACATAATATATGGTGGTGTGGGGGCATGGGTTACTTTTCATGTAATGTCAGGTGGCAGCTACAGCCCCCCCCCCAACATTTCAGCCCTAGTTGCGCCATTGAAAAACATTAAATGTATATTATTACATTTTATACTTAACGAATTTAATGTCAAATGTAATATATTTTACTACATTTTTAAAAAAAGTAATTAGGCTGAATTTGGCATGGAATTGTAGCTATCTGCGGTTCACTGCAATGGTCAAATATAAAACTTGACTACAAAATTACACTTTAAAAACACGAAACTAGTAAAAAATATCGTTGGTATTGGAGTTGAATTTTGAATATGTGCGTGTTACGCACAAGAATTTTACTGTCTAATATGCTAAATTAATGATTTATTAATATTAATTTTTTAGAATGTATGTCATGTATTGATAATGTATATGAGTTTAAAGATTAGTTTATCTTTAGGGAGATGTGAGTAGTTTTGGGGTGGCCTAAGTCCTGCACCCCTTCCTATGGTTACGCTTATGTAAAACACTAAGTTTAAGTACTCTCTAGCAATAGTCTAAATTAATAATATTTACACCAGAAAAAATTGTAAAATGTGTATTTATCAGCATTAAGTTATGGGTTATGCTATAATTGCTGCTGTACAACCTTAGAGTATAAATATACGTAAATTTGGCTATTTGGCCTTAGAGTTAAAGACTTCACTAAGATACCCATCGATTCTGTCTGTCATTAATTTATGATTAAAAAACTATCGTAATTTTGCAATCTGTAAGGTAATGCTTTGTTTATTAAGTATTTGTATAGTGGTTTTGTTGGTAGCTAGGTACCTTTTATTGTTTTTTACATTTTAAAATCTGAATTTTTACCAGCTGATTTTTTTTAGCATAATTTCATTAGGTACTTTAAACCATTTGGTGTTGGTGGCTGGGGTGCTAAAGTCAGTTGTGTTTTGAGACACCCCTTCCCCTCTAAGATAGTCTACAAATCAGCCTATTATATCGTATTCTGAATACGGTATTCAGCAGGCCAGATTCGGCAGATTCTATAAGTCATACAAATTTCAAGAAAGATTTTAGAAAAACATTACATTTTTACAAATTTGATCATAACGGAAGGCAGTTGTGGTACATTTTTAATTCATTTCATTATCCAACAGTATTGTTTTACTACAATTAATATCGTGACACGGTCATCGGCCGAATACCGGAACACGTTTATTATTACCATTATATTATAATAATTTTTATTATTATTATTATTACTATTTAGTATAATATAATAGTAAAATATTTATGTTAAACGAAACAAAAAAATAGTTTAATTCTGCATTCGTATGCGTTGGCGTAATAAAGTGCAAACCGCATAAACCAAATTCGGCCCGGCGCGGCGCACACACGATAGTACGACACCACACAGCATAGACAAGAATACACAGGACGTCAGAACCTATAAACACTATAATAATAGTAGGGATAATAGTACACAATGACTCTTTATCATGTGACATGTACTATGTAGTTTTGTGATATATATCTTTAATCGTGCTACAAACGAATAACGTCCAACGGTCAATACTAGTGCTCATCTAACGGCAGTATCCAGAACTATTTAAACAGCTAGCGCCAATCTAGTGAACATATCCATAACTAGTAGACTTCTAGCGCTCATCTAGTGTTTCTATCCAGAACTAACGCCGCGACTGCAGCGATGCGTAACGGCCGTATCCATTAGAGCGTAGCGTGAAATGCCGTCAGTGAGCAATCTA